GAGCCTACCGGCCGGTCTACTTTATAGCAAAGGAGGATGACATATCTATCACGGTCGATATCATCATCGATGTTACAACTCCAACTAGCTAACAACTTTGTGAGCGATGCTTTGCTCCTATCACTTACTTTGAAGGCAGTTGGCACGATAAATCCCTAAGACGAGTAGGATTAATACGCGTGGCAGGACGGAATTCCGCGACCCTGAGCAGGCGCTGCGTAGCGCCTTTCCTAACGGAAGATACACCTTTAAGGACCCTATGAAGCTGCAACAGACCGATCCGGACGCCTACGCCCGCTGTAGCGCCCTGCTAGCTTTCTAGCACGAGTACCAATTTATCGTGCTAGCTGCTTCTACGGAGAAGTGAAAAAGAAGACACAATTCCCTTTAGTTTTCCACATGGCCATTTCCTTTCAGTGTGCATTCATCTCCAATAGTGACGTGAGCTCCTCGCGGAATGGCTTCCAGTGTGCAGTTTTGAGGTGTTCAAAAGCATGGGAGTTCATTATCATGATCATACCTCCATGGCAGAGTGATACCATAAGCACATAGTTTTGGCGGTGGTTCCCCTCCCCTTCGCTCCTCCACTTTTGCCACCCCCGCTCTCCGCAGACTGGCCAAGAATGTAGTAATCGGCTGTCTTTTATAGCAGAGGACGGTGTTATCTTAACCAAAGCATTGAGCTAGATTGATACCATTAGACCAGTTTGCTGGGAGTTTCATTAGCGGTCCCCTCCTATCAGCTCCCTTATCTCAATCTCGAGGCGAATCTCGATTTGGTCGAGGGATCGTTCATCACCCAATCTGCTGATGCTTTCGACTGGGACGCCAAACGTCGCTCCAGAGGCACTCATCATCAGCGAATTCGAGGATCTGTGGGCTACCGAAGTTCAAAGGTCGTAAGAGAAGCAAGCTACACAAGTCATACGTGCAGCGCAGTTCAAAGCATTCCTAGTAATTATAGCTACCGCAAGAGAGAGAGAGAGAGAGACAGAGAGAGAGA